TTTCACGGTAGCTGAAATTAAAAAAGAAAATACTTTGACAGCCGCACCTGATGATGCGAGTGAAGAAGATGATAAGGTGATCATCGTTTCAGCCGCTGCTGTCAATTCAAATGAACCTACAAATTCTGACGATAACTATCAATTCTGAGAGCACACCAGATTGTCGTTTCAACCACAATTATTTATCATCTAATTCTACAACTCTTCGATCTGGGCCTAATAAACAGATTGAAACTATTCCTAAAACTAATACACAGCTTAATGCTATTTCTTTAACTAGTTCACAGCTTGTCGCTATTCCCACAACAAGCTTTTACAGAAAATCTGCTACAACTTCCAGTAGACCTCATGCAGAGCTTGGTGTATAAAGAAAATTATTTGAGAATTACCTCACTCCATCAATTCCTTCCACATCTGGGTCTTCAAGAACATCTCTGATAACAACATATGATCTTTCTCCTATGCCATTATTGAAAAAAAAACCTAAAATCGTGGGCGTAGCCAAATAAGTGTTCAGTGATAACCTTACAAAAGTGAATTGATCCAATCTCTCATTAAAGACAAAGGGAAGCAAAACGAAGTAGGAAAGGGAAAGGGAAAGAATAAAAGAAGGAAAAAGTAAGCAGGTTATTAAAGTCACAAACAACCAAAAAAAGAAATCGGGTTCTAGTAGCGAGGATGAGAAGGAATATGTACATGCAGATGATGAGAGCGATTACAATAAGTTTCCTTCTACACAGCCTTCACAAGACACAGCTAACGTAACGTGTATGTTTTGCAAAGCACTTTTTTCAGAGAATAATCTTGGTGAAATATGGGTCAAGTGCTGCATGTTCCATTTGTTGGCACATAACGAGTGTGCTGGGGTTTTCAGAAACAGAAGAATGTGTGTGTGAATTTTGCAAACAGATTTTTCTCTAGTAAAAAAAAAGAAAACTTGAGAAAATTAAACACATACGTCATTGCTTATAAGTTATTTGATATATTGTTTGTATTTTAGATATTAAAATATATTTGTCACGCATTTATATCATTTAACACAAATTTAAGACACATTTTTCGGGGTAGCCCACATTTAGGATCATTATTCAAACGGCGCAAAAGTACAATTTTTCATTATTTGTACATTTAAAACAGTTATATATAACAACTTGGACTTTAGGCAAGTTTATGAATAACTAAATATAGGTATTCTTACGTACCTTTGGAATTGAAATGAAATTTTTATTCTGTTTTTATAAAGAAATACAAAATGAGTAGCCCATATTTGCATCCTTTCCTCTACTGATCTTCGACAGCGCTTTTAATATTGGGGAATTTGCTATTAATTTTTCTCAGAAGCTTTGACTTAAAAATAGTTTTAAATTCATGAAATATGTTTTCACCTGTTAGCACCCTGCTTGGCAGGGTCACATATCAGATTAATTTACGGTTGCAAAAGGTTTGAGACAGGGAGATCTTTTATCCACTACATTATTCAACTTAGTATTAGAAACTGTAATCAGAAAATGTAGCATGAAGATGGAAGAAACGATCATGAAAAATGAGCACCAGTGCTTGGCATTTGCTGATGATCTACCGATCCTAGCAAAAACCGAGTAAGAATTAAGAAGAGTTGTGAAGAAAATCATCGAAGAAGCACAGAAATTTGGATTGGAACTAAATGAAGACAAAAGTAAATATATGATCATGGAAGGAACAGAAGGGAAAAAAGAAGACTTTAGTGTGAGGTCAGTAAGTGGTAAAAGCTATAGTTTTAAAAGGGTGGATAAATTTGAATACCTAGGTGTAGTTTTCGATGAAAATTGAAAAGAGAAATGGGAGCTTATAGCCAGAATAGCAAAAAGAAATAAAAAATTAGGTGGTTTAAGAGCCCTACTGAACTCAAAATACGTTTCTAGACAAGGTAAACTCAGAATATATAAAACAGTAATTCGACCCACAGTAACATATGCCGGTGAGCCTGGACATTAAATAAGAAGGAAGAGGATACTCTGGAAAGATGGGAAAGGAAAATATTGAGATGCATATTCAGAGGACGGAAGGCAGAAGATGGTTGGGAGAGAAGAACCAACAATGAATTAATGGCTTTATACAAAGAACCTACTATTACCAAGTTCGTCAAGGCACAAAGAATCAGATGGTTGGAACATGTGGAAAGAATGGCAGCAAACAGAATTCCTAAACTAGTAATAACCAGAAAATTAATCGGCCCCAAAAGAAGAGGTAGACCCAGAACGAGGTGGATTAGTAAAGCGGAGGAAGACCTTAAACACGTGAAGGTGAGGTAATAGAAAAAAAAGCACAAAATAGAAGCGGATGGAAAAATATTGTACACCAGGTCCTTTAGAGTAGTTAAGAATGTTATATATACATATTTAAGTTAAAGATTTGTTTAAAATAATTGTAATTAGTTAATATTACAATTATGTTAAAAAAAATGTTCTAGGCCTTAACGGCCTGTTGTGCGTAAAAATAAATAAATAAATAATAGAGTGCAAAATTCGAAAGAATCGCGTTTTTTGCTTAATTGTGAATCATTAAAAAACGGCTCCGAACTTTACGCAGGAAACAGGTAGGTTTTCTTCTTATAGGTCTACAATAACTAAAAAAGTTGTCAGCTACCTGGATTATTGAGTGTCACGAGAAAATCCTTATTAGCCTGGACTAATATGGCTGGACAAGCAAGTGAAGAAACAAACTTCATATATTATGTAAACTTTACTAACAAAAACGTTGAAAATAAATATTCCTATAAATATAAATAATCAAATTCCATATTCAAATACAGCAAAATATTTGTGTATTGTCCAATAAATATAAATAATCAAATTCCGTATTCAAATACTGCAAAATATTTGAGTATTACTCTAAGCTTTTATGTAAAGAAGAAAAGAAAATAATAATTCTGATTGAAATACAAAAAAATGTACTGGCTGATTGACCAAAATTCTACGCTGTTTCTACATAATAAATTATTATTATATAAGCAAATACTGAAACAATAGTATTATTATAAAAACAGTATAAACATTTAGAAGGAAACTGTTACAAATCAACAGAAAATATTTCTATTCATATAAAAATTTAATCAAATTATAGGTACTTATTATAGGTACTGCTTATTTATATAAAATTTCCTCAATCGGAACATAAACGTCTTCGTGAACTACCCATTTTAAAAACAATTAACACACTGGTTTGTCAAAAGGTGGTCAAAAGTCGAAATAAACCCTAATAATGTTATTCAACATTATTTATGACCCACCTTCGAGAGGGTATTATACTTCTTACCTAACCAACCTAACCGTGTCGGCGAGAATCCAGAAACTATCGACAAGGACAGCCTGTACTGGCCGAGAGAGAAAGTTACATTTAGCAAAATTTGAGATTTTAAAAAAAGTTTATACCAAATAGCTGCTTTGTGTTACACTTTATGTTAAAAATAAAAACAGATTCGGAAAGTGGGTCAAATTCTGTAGTGCCCTATTTCAAAAAAAAATTTTTTACGTTTATTTTAACCAAAAATATTTGAAAAAAAAAATTGTTTAAACAATTTATTAATTTACAACCAAATAGTGCACTAGAACTGTTTAAGACCTTTCATATAAAAAAAGAATCATCTCAATATCTGCCATAGTTTTTGCGTTATTTGATATAAACTTTTACATTGAAACTTAGGTATGCCCAGAAACGCAAGGAACGGCCTTAAACGGATTGTGAGCTTTGACAATTACAATATACAAGGAATCTTATCTTGCCCTACAATGGATTCCTATTTTTTGCAGCCCACTTTCAGAATTTTGGATTACCAGCTAATTTTATTATCAGCAAAATGTTTTATTTTTTCTTGTGTATATAGATCAATTGATGTATTTATATACTTATTATATCTAATTAGTAAAAAGGAACCGGTTTGACGTCTAAGCTCCTTGCATTTTCCATAAATTTATGTTTTCCGTAACGCTCTACTAATTATAAAAAGGTTATAGCTGGCGCCGAACGGCGCTGCCAACCTGTTAACATCAAAAATCCATAATTTGCACTTGTGGTGCGCTTTCATTAATATTAAACAAGCGCAGGGACACGAAAAGATGTAATTAATACCCCCGATGGCACTTTTCCTTGATTTATCCTTCTCGTGTTCCAATCTATGGTTGTTAATTCTATTTTTTTCGGAATTATATAGCATATAATAATTCAATTTACACTTGAATACATGCTACCTACTGAGACTTATTAAACTGGTCCATTAGACGTGTCAGACGGGATAGCTACTGATACTTAATCGTTTATGGTTTTATTTAATTAATTTTCTGTGAAAGTATCGTAATAAACACGCTGAAGATAACTAACATAATAAGTTGTACAACTTATTGTAAAAAAGAGATCAACTGATAATTCCTAGTGCAAAACTCGTTTTTAGCGTATTTCATTATAATTATTGGTTATGAACATACATTATGAGATTCTAGTACGCATCGATTGATAATTCTATTCTGGTATAGAATGTCCAAAAGAACTCAAAATATAAAAAAAATGCAGGCAATGATATTTTCCTTACTTGGAAAATATGTAAAATTCTACAGGTTGTAGTAGTGTAGTAGGTCTACATAAATGGGGTATTACATTTTCTGGTCAAACTCAACATATCGATGTTATTTCATTTTTAGAGCGTGTTTTAGGACGTGTTCTATGTTTGTTTTACCTAAGGTAATTACTGGTCTGTCTTCTGTATTAGTCACTATTTTAGTTTTCTTTGGATTTATTTTAGTCCTTTGTCAAAAGATGTTTTTTCTAGGTCTGAAATCATTATTCCTAGTTGTTCCATAGTTGTTGCTATCAGGAGTACATCATCGGCGAATCTTAGATGATTTAAATATTTCCCGTTTATACAAATCCCTTTATTGTCCCAGTCTATAGATTTAAAAATGTCTTCCAACACCAGAGTAAATAGTTTCGGTGAGATTGTATCTTCTTGTCTGACACCTCTACAAATTCTAATTAACGGAGTTTGCAAATCTCTGTCTAGCTGAATTCTCATAGTGGCGTTTTGATATATATTGTGGATTACCATTCTGTACCGTGAATCTATTCGGCAATTAACTAGTGCTTCTTCCACTGCCAAAGTTGCTGTCAAACGCTTTTTCATAGTCAACAAGCACTAGGTATATTGGAAGGTTGTATTCGTTGGTCTTTTCTATCAATATTTAAAAGTGTGAAGATGGTCTGTTGTTTCAGTCTTCTTCCTATGGACCTTTTTCCTTATTATTCGAATAATTATTCGAAGCAGTTCATATCTTTAGCCTCTTGTAACGTGTCCCAAGTATTGCAGTTTTCGTTTTTTGATCGTAAATATGACTTCCTTTTCTTTATTCATTCTTCTCAAGACCTCGACATTTGTGACTCTCTCGGTACATCATATTCTCAGGATTCTGCGATACATCCACAGTTCAAATGCCTCTAATGTTTTGGTATCAATATTTTTTTGATACTAAACACTCTCTTCGTTTTAGTGAATATGGATCTGGCTTTTTCTATTCTTATTTTGATTTCTGCTGAGCTATCGTTGTTTTTCATTTATAAAAGTGCCTAAATATTTGTATTTGCTAACTCGATCGATAATTTCATTGTGTTGATATAAATTTTGGACATTTTGTGTTGATTTCGATATTACCATAAATTTAGTTTTCTTTATGTTCAAGGATAGTCCATATTCTTCGCTGCAGTCTGCTATCTTATTCACCAATGTCTGTAGCTCTTCAAGTGTTTCTGCGATTAGAACGGTGTAGTCGGCAAATCTTAGATTGTTTAATCTAACACCATTTACTTTAATACGTATGGATTGCTCAGAGAGTGTTCTATTCATTACGTCTTCGAAATAGAGATTAAACAGGGTTGGTGGCAGTATACACCCTTGTCTCACACCCGTTTTATTTCAATTTCTTCAGTGGTATTATTCTCTACTCTCACTACTGCTTTCTGATTGTAGTACATATTTGCTATTAGTCGGTTTATCTAAATTCTTTTCTGTCAGGAGTCTAATTAGGTGATCATGCAGCACTTTATTAAAGGCTTTGTTGTAATCTATGAAAACACATGAATACATCTTGATTTATGCCAAGACATCTTTGAGACATAACGTTTAGTGCAAACAACGCCTCTCTTGTTCCGAGTCCATTTCGGAATCCAAACTGGGTATTATTGATGTCCATTTCCAGTTATCTGTGTACTCTAGAGTGTATAATTTTCAGGAATATTTTCAGTACATGGCTCATCAGACTGATTGTACGGTAATTGTTTGGCATTTATCTTTTTTGGTATAATAACAAAGGTGGATAAAAGTCATTCTTGTGGTATTTTTCCTGATGTATACATGCTATTGAAAAGTTTAACTAAACTTTTTCTATTACTTTAAGGATTTCCGTTGGTATTTCATCTGAACCTGGGGCTTTACCATTTTTCATTCTTTTTAGTGCGTATATTACTTCCTCTTCCGTTATTTCTGGACCTTCGTCTCCTTGTATGTTACTTCACCTTAGTGAAAGTTTTATAGATTTGTGACAAGAGAGATATTGGTCTATAGTTAGCTAATTTTGATCTATTTTCTTTCTTACATATCAGAATTGTATTTGCCTTGTTCCACTTTTGCAGTATTTGTCCTTCAAACAAACATTTATTGAAAAGTATCTTTAGGTAGTCTTTTATCTTTTCCCCTCCTTCTTTTAACATTTCAATTAGAATTTCCTCGTATCCCGGAGCCTTATATCTTTTCATATCTCTAATTGCTTTTTCTATTTCTTCTTCGGTTATGGGGGGTAATATTTTAGAGTTTACATTCATTATTTTTCTTTTTCAGGTTTTGTTGAGTTATATCAGGTAGACTGTTTTTAGAGCTGTAGAGGTCACTATAATATTCCCTTGTTATCTTAGATATTTGGGTTTTGCTTTTTTCTATTACACCTTGTATATTTTCCATCTCTATGATTTTATTTCTTCCTAGGAGGGACTTGATAGATCCCAAGTTTCTGTTTTCTTCTATAATATTCTCGATTCGTTCTTCTTAATGCCGTTTGAGATCTTGTTTTATATGTCTTCTTATTTCTGTATTAAGTGTTTTGTATTCAGTTGTATTTCATTTATTTTCTTGTAGTAGGCTTCTCCGTTGTTGTAGCATGTCTAGAGATATGGCACTTAGTTTTGATTTTTTGCCTGATTTTGCTGGTGCTACTTCTAAGCTACTCTTTAGAAGTTCTTCAGTGATGGCTTTGTTTAGTTGATGTAGATTTAGGTCTGTTAGCTTAAGTTCTTCAGCTGTTCTTAATTTGTTTTGGTATTGTTCTTAATTCTCCTTTAATTTTTCTGGATGGACTTTTTTCTTAGAGTGCATATATTGTCTACGATCTTTTTTGTGTTTAATACTTATTTTAGCGCGTATCATTCTGTGATCACTACCAGTAGAGATTGAGTTTATTACTGTGACGTCTTCGAAAATGTTCTTTTTGTTTGTTAGTATGTAGTTAATTTCATTTACTATGGTGTTCCCATCTGGCGACATCTACATCCATTTCCTATGTAGCTTTTTCTTGAAGAAAGAGTTCATGGCAAATAATTTGTTGTTTTCTAGATAGTTAACCAATAGATTCCTCTTTTATTTCTTACTCCATGTCCAAATTTTCCAATACAGTTTTCGTTTTCTTCTAGTTTTTTGTTCATTTTCGCATTTCGATAGTACCACATTTCGGTACCGCAATAACCTATTTTCACTTTAATGATTTGATGTAGAAAAAATATGCAATATATGCATATCTTTTTTACCGTTTCAAATAATCTTTTTCCGTTAATAATGTGGTTATTTTATATAAATAAATTAAATTACTATTTAATTACTTTTAATTGCATTTTTAATATCTTCCTTATGGCTGCAATAAAAGATATATTTAAATTTATTTCTAAAGACTCCAGGAAACTAAGTTTTTGTTGGAAAAAATCTAGCTATGTGCAAGATTCTTAGTTATACCTATAAAAAGAAAACGTATTTGTTTCTTGTAGGAATTCAGTTTACTTAGTTATTAAGAATTATGTATCGAAAATGCGATTTCCTCCAAGTTTTAATTTCCCTTAAACAGATATATGCGTATTTGTAATAAAATTTTGAAATTTTGTTTTTTAATGAGTTATTTTAATGCAAAATAAGACAAAACTCTCAAAATTTCAGGTTTTTCTTAAAGGTTGCTAACATTTTTTTTCTAACAATAACATATTTGGCTTAAATTTTGCTAAAAACAAAAAAATACCATGAATTGGACTTAATTTATTAACTGCTTTTAATTTATGCACACAGTATTTTTTCTTTAAATGTAACCAGAAAAGACCAAAAGCCTCTTGTAAATATTTGGGGGTTCTTCCTTCTTGCACAGTCATTTCTTGACATTTTCAAGATTACTACACCGATTTTTATTTGATTTCATTCAGAACAGAACAGAACTGTTCCTATCAACCTTCAGTGTCCAAATGCTTTCAGCCAAGTTCCAAAAAACAAACCGAACAATAAACTTTTAACGAAGACTTGTGTCGTACATTAGTATCTTCTAATATACCGCTTTCAAAATTATCTAATGAGAACTTTAGTTCTTTTTAAAAAAATATTGCAAACAAAACATTCCCAGTGAACGAAATCTAAAGAGAAATAAGGTCAATTTGTTATACTTCTCAGTTATCCACAACATAAAGGCCGAAATATGTAATATTTACTTTTACATATGTGTGGACGTTTCTACAAGAAGCATTAGCAAACTATTTTCTTCCTGCTGCTGTGCCCAATGATAAATTATTGCCTATTTTATCTGATGCCGCACCATATGGTAAAAGCAGGACGAAATTTAAAAATATTTTATCCAAACTTAATACATGTCACTTATTTAGAGCATGAAATAAACATAGGTGCGGAAGAAGTAAGAAACACATTTCCACTAGTTAACAGTTTAATAGCGAGCGTCAAAAAGGTATTTTTAAACCACCTGCAAGAATACAATGTTAGAAGTAATGGATTTTGAGAAGAGCTATGACCTTGAAAATAGCAGGTAAACTTGTGTACTGAATCGGCATGACTCATGGCTCTTGTTAAAATCATTACCTCTACAGAGATATGCTTCCTGCTGTTCCACTGCCACCGCAATCCATTTTAACACGTTGGGGAACATGGTTGGAAGCAGCTAATTTCTATGCTGATCATTTTGTTGATTAAAACAAATAATTAACCATTTAACGGATGATAGTTGCCAATCTTTATTGGAGGCTAAGCAAGTCTTCCAAAATAACATCCTTCAACAGCAACTGTCATTCATAAAATCAAATTATAGTTTTGTCCAGAAAACTATAACTTAATTAGAATCCACAAGGAATCTACGTTCCTGTAGTTGGCTGTAAACCATATATTAAAAAATTTATTAAAAATCCTTTGTAAAAGGTATATATCTAGTTTCCTAGTGCTTTAATTTTACAAAAAGTAGGGAAGACCTGGTTGTTTATGCATTGAGAGATGAACCAAATATCCAGCTTCAAAGTGCATCTTAATATATACCTTTTACAAAGGATTTTTAATAAAAATCAATTAGAATCCTCCAAATTATCATTGTTAGAGAGTACAGTTTTAATAAACGAATTTGAGCCATTGTGTCAAAACGTTAAAGGTACTATTGGAAAGGAAATTTAAAATAAAATTAAAGACTATTAATAAATTAAACTAAACTATAGAAAAACTAGTGGTTACCAGGTTCTAAAGTGGTTCAAGTACTAGCTGGAACATTTTTCGAACTACTTAATTTAGTACCATCTATTATAGTAAATTTGAAAAATGCCCCAGTTACATCAGTTGATGTCGAAGGAAGTTTTTCTGTTTACAAATATATGTATTCAAAGCCAAAAGTTTTTATTAGAAAATTTTAAACATCATTTGTATTGTTACAATGTACAATGTATGTTAATATATTTATAATATTGTAAGTATTTTTTATTACATGCATTCTTCTTCTTCTTCTTAAGGTGCCGTGCATTTCTGCGTAGGCGTCCACCGTACATCGTCTTGTCAGGTGAGCTGTTAAATATTCTGGTTTAAATAATTCTGTTTTTAGCAGCATTGCGAAGCATTTCATAGCTGTGGATTCCTGTCCATTGTCGAATATTGCGCAGCCATGACATTTTTTTACGTCCGAGACCTCTCCTACCCTCTATTTTCATTACATGCATATTTTCTAGATAAATAGGCATATTTTGCATAAAATACTACATATTTATGCGCATATTTCATTCTTTTTTATTTGCATATTTGCTCAAGTCTAGTTGTTATTACAGACTGGATTATATGCAAAATGCATGTGCATACATATGCAACATATTTGTGGGTTTCTTTATAAATGCATATGCCATTCATATTTACTTGATTAAGAGCATATTGCCACATATTTGAAAGTATCACATAAATAAAATGGTTTTCTATACCTATTTAGATAATAGTTTCTTGGATTTATTCAGAATAGGTACTAGGTAAGGTAACTACGAAATAATTTAGTACAAATATCTACTAAATCTACAAGTTTTATTGTTTGGGAAAACCCATCTGGGAATTATTTATCAGAAGAATAGGGCCAACATATAGCTAGGTATTATACAGTAAATTCGTCTTTAAATTCTCTTTACCAGCTGGCAAAGCAACTTGTGATTGTGAATATTCTGCTTATAAAATAAAAATAATTTCTATTTTGAAAATATGAAAGAATTGAAACAAAAATCAAGTCTATTGCGGAGTTGGGTTGGTGGCAACAGTGAACAATAGACAATGAAAGTGTTTTCTGTACTATTTGTGATAAAAAGGTAAGTCCACTTATATTTTAACGATTCAAAAATTTAATTTAAAATCTGATTTTTGCAAGAAAATCGGTGTACCTATATTGAACATGTAACAGTTTGACTATTGGCGGTAGTTTTAGTTTCGAGAAAAAAAATTATGAAGTCCATATTATTGCATTAAACTCCTATTTACTAAACCGTTTTATAACAGATTCCATGTGAAAAAAAATCCAAATTTCCCAATACCTGAAAACGGCTCTCCACTAATATAAACTATCAAAGGACTTCAAGAAACCACGGCAGCAGCTTCTGCAGAACAACATTATTCAAAATCGTCATAGATCGACGGGACAAGAAATGTTTGCAAAAGATGTATGCAATTTTTTTGTAAGTTGCAATATCCCACTGTATAAATTGGATAGCAAGGTGTGTCAAAATTTTTTGAAAACATATTGTAAAGTTGAAAATATGTCAGTACAGGTACCAAGTTCTTCACCTCTTCGCAAGAAATATGTGAGGGCATTTTACAAAGACGTTATTAAAGGTATTAAAAGCCGGATAAATGATGAATATCTGTGGATATCTGTCGACGAGACTACTGACGCCAAGTGTCGGCAAATAGCGAATTTAATTATTAGAGTTTTAAAAAGTTCAGTGATGACTCCAACAAGTCGTATTTAATCAGCGTAAAATGTTTAGAAAAAACTAACTATGCAACAATTGCTCGATTTGTTAATAAATCTTTGACAAATTTCTTTTTACCGAATCAAGTCCCTTCTGAAACAATCTTGCTACTAGTTAGCGATGTCGCTTCCTACATGGTTAAAGCTGTTACTAGTCTTAAGATTTTTTTTCGAATTTGATTCATTGTACATGCTTAGTGC